ACTAAACTTGTCCTGCGACGTCACAGTGATATAGGGCAATTGGCATATCAGTATCCAATCATATTAGAGAATAGTCAAAAAATAGAATGTCTCCTTGACATTTTATGACGTTATAGCTTCCTCTGCTTACGATTAATATATTYGAAATCAAAAGAAACTTCCAAAAACTTAAAGAAAGCTAACGAAAAGGTGCTACTGTCACATAAAGCAAGGGTAAGGAATCTCTATAAATATCTTCTTGCTTTTTACCTTTCTGCGTAATGTTTTTTCATTCCACTGATCTGTTATCGTCTTTACCTTATGAGACTACGTTATATACGATACTCAATTAATAAGCCGGTCGAAATTCTAAGCCGTATGTTTGAAAAGATCAGATAGTATCGAAGAGTATGATCTGATCCAAAGAATCTAACAATCTAATCCATACCTTTTAAAAGCATAAATTAAAGATAATGAAATGAATGACGAGAAGTGAATGAGAAAGATACACCGTCATTTATTTCAATATATGTATGTCTCGTAATTGTTTGTGTTAGGAAATTAGATGAATAAAAACTGCTACTGCATTTATAGCATAGCACATTTTCACATGTAAAATCTAGATAATATATTAATATCCGTTTTAATCTTGTAAAATATATACTGAAGATGGAGCTACTGAGACACTCGTGGAAACACTAAGGAATGTCATGTTCCTAAAAACACTTTGTTGTATTTTTGATTGTTTTCTTAACATAAAGTATGTCTCGACTTGTCTTCCTATGATCAGGTGTGATGGTGTCAAGACTTCGTTGATCTCGTCATAAACATGAGTAAGGGGTCTTGAATTCAGAACTCCTTCAATCTCTATCGACGTTGTGAGAAATTAAATTTCTCTTCGTAATTAAATTTTGTGCCATGAAATTGTTTCCTCAAGGGGTTCGCTCGACGTTGTACTTTCATTGGATATTCTTTTCACGCACAAACATTTTGAGTTTTCTGTCCTTAAGGTGGCTCCATATAGTTTTTGTTCGCGCGCACGCCAGGTTGTGCAYGAGCATGCGCAGTATCAAAACGTGAATAATCTCGTAGCTTTTTTGCTTTGCTGAGATCCATATCGATGAATGATATCCGATGAATGTCCTTCGTAGTGATATTCGAGGAATTTCYTTCGTATTGATGATCAATATTCATTCGAGAATTCAGAAGATTGTGCTCACGTGATGCATAGTTATGCATCCGGCTCGAAGAACCATGTTGTATTTTCGATTGTTTTCTTAACACAAAGTATCTCTCGACTTACTATTCTTCACGCCCTCTCTTTCTCTCGATTCTTGAGGTGTATGTTACGTCATAGCCGCCATGTTGCAAGGTTAACGCCAGATAAAGCATTCCACAAAGGTTTCTCTTGTTAAATCAACCAACATGGTGGTAGTACTTCATTGTTTTTTGTTTCAAAGGATTTTGAGTTTTGAGGATTTTGATTTTTGCCCTCCAAGAATTAATGAAGAAAAAGTTGAAAAATGAAATTATTTTAATTTYAGTACTACAATAGTTTGAATTTCAAACTCGCCACCTTAACAGCACAGTTAACTTTCCTATGCCAGTATTTCTTTTCAACTGATATAACTTCACTGCAAAGATATTAAGAATTTTAAAAGTCTGTTTATCGGAACAATAAAAAAAATCGTTCAGTTTGYTTTGTGCTCAATTTTTACAATAACTTGCACGCCGCAGAACCTGAACAAAAAAGGTTTTCCTTCATCTACGATAGCTTATTAAAACAACTTTTATCAGTATTTTATAAATATAGTGTAAGTTACGTCTTTGGAGAAAATTTCTCATCTTTCTTCATTAGTTTGGCTTTTGCGATTTTTTTTGTACGAACTTGATTTTCGCTATTTTTCTTCCAACATTGTACAAACACATGTCATTCCAGAGTGATTATCTCAAAAACAAGCTCGGGACACCCCATTTTTCTTTGTATTTTTGAAATCAGAATTAAGTTTCAGRATAAAAAAGTTTCAATTTTCAATTTTCTGTTTATTATTTTTTAAAGAAGTCAGCCACCTTAAACGAAAGGCCATGTTAGTTTAAACTTATTATGATACAGTTTAGAKCCTTTATTTGTGTGCTTTATCGTTAAACAATATGATTTCGCTTGACATGAAGCGTCGGCGAAGAATATCCGTTTCTGTTATATAGTTACGATTTTTTTCGATATAACAAACACTCTCAATGGTTTAAAGATGACCACGTGACACTAGTTAAATCTAAATGTATCCCGACCGGGAAATAAGTAACTTATTTCCCGGTAGGGAAAAATGTTGCACGTGACAATAATCGTGAAAATAAACAAGTGCATGTGATCGAGAGCGTGAAAAATGCGGGTGGCGTGATATTTTGCAGCAATCACTCAGCAATCAATTTAGTTTTGTTTTCCCTCGAGTCTAGATGTTTCCCTCGGCTTCTCCTCGTGAAACATAGAGACTCTTGGGAAAACAAAACTAACTATTTCCCTCGCGAAAAGACATTAAGTGTATAATATTTAATGAYAACTGATTCTCAGCTATTTACGGCTATCGTTTATTTGTCTCGGCTTCTTGGCCAGTGTACTCTTGGTAGTTGCGGACTTGCGCACATACCGTACTCCAACCACTAACTGAAACTGTTTATATGCGAGACTGAGCTTGTTTTATGAAGCCATAATCGAATTGTGATATTTAAAGATTATACAAAGACAGTATGTTTTTGAAATATTACATGAACATCAACTCGCTGTGAATAATAATGGCTCTTTTCTCTTTGGACGCCAGTTTTGATTTAACTAGGAAACACATTAAACAAAAACACTGAAAGAATGAGAAAATACTGCAGTCCAACATTAGATTCTAGATTTAGCTTCATTTATCTGCTATGTTTGTCTGCTCACAGTTAGCCAAATCTAGGTTTCTGTGGTGTCATTTTATAAGGAAATGTAACGCGTTAATTTTCTTCTTTCTTAATGGCGGAGGGAAAAAGCGTTAAAACTGATTAAATCCAAAGTCTAAGTACACAGGAAAAAAGAGGTATTACGTTTCAAAGCTTAGCTAAAATTTCTTTACTTTATTTCCTATTTTGACGATTTTATTGGGGTTTGTAAGTATCGCCATACATTTTTTTATAACGTAGCACCATAGCTTGGACTACCTGTGGTCTGCTGCTTTTGTCAGTGTTACATTACTTATCGTTTTGCCGATCCTCTATTAAAGATAGAGGTAACAATATTTGCTTYATAAAACTATAAGAACATCAAAAAGTTCAAATAAAAATTTTAGTTTTTATACTTAACTTTGCTAATTGAAACATTCGAATGACGTCATCACGATGATCAGTGACTAACCAAGCAAAACTTTGTTGGTTTCGTCGAGTTTGTTTTGAGGGATGCATCATGATTAGACATCTGTGTTTGAGGGAAAAACTGGGTCGAGTTGTGTTATGTCTTATGAATATTAATCATCCTGTAACCTGAGCGCATGCGCAGTAGTATGTTAGACATCGAAACTCGTGTAGCTCTACGCCATGTTGTTGGCTAAATAAATAGGTTGATTCAGAGTTCTAGAGTTATTTCTTCGAGCTTACAGACACATCAAGTTGGCATTGCAACTCAAGATATGCATCGTGGGAATGTTCTAAGAGRCRAAATAGACGCCATCTTGGAAATATGTCCTATAGTATCCCAACAATGCACTGCGATGCCAACTCGATTCCCTCATCCTCGGAATGGCTAATTAGTGTCACCATTATAAACTTATTGTGCTTCTTCAACCATAAATAATAAATAGAGGATATTACATGGGCGCGCGGAGATACGACATTTATCTTCGAGTGTTGAAAAGATCTCTCACAAGTGAGCGCGGCGAACGAGTGAGAGATTTTCAACACGAGAAGATTTATTTTCACGTGTGAAGATATCAATTTTTCGAAAAGGAGAAATATAGATATTTCATTGGTAATTATATAATAATAATTTATATTTTTGAGCTTTCGGGCATTACTAGCGCCCATTTTTATATTGGTCTTGTTTTGTTATATTTTGCCGCCCAATATTTCATCGGCAGTCTCGCGTGGAAGGGATGAATATGCTACCTTTTATTAGTTCTTCAAATTATTAAGAATTATGAGCCTTTTGTTCCGTTAACAGGTGTTAAAGCCATCATGACAAAGGTAATGGTTCATTTATTGTTTGCTTTCTTCCTCCTGGAGCACAAAGTCACCTACGCTTCCATGTGGGCCGAAACCAGCCATACAGAACTCAAGACGTACTTGCAAGGATTCATTCTTGAGTCCTTCAAAGTAAACACTATCTTTGCATGTTACAGAAAGTGTGAGGACAACATCATTTGTGCAAGCATCAACATGAATCTGACAGACATGACATGTGAACTGAAGTACTCTACCAAGACAAGACACCCAAAGAAGATTCTTAGTCATCCAAACATGATGTACATGGAATTGCGAGATGAGGTCGGTTCAGTGCCAGATAATCCAATACAATCCTGCAAATGGTTAAAGAACATTATCAACCAGTCGAAGTCCGGTGTGTATTGGATGAAGATAAATGACCCATCCTCTGACGCTTTTCGGGTGTTTTGYGAGATGAACACCGATGGAGGAGGCTGGACACTAGTGTACAGCTATTATTTTACTCAGTTCAATAACTTCGCTTCATACGCAAACAGCATTTCTCCGGTCCCCAACTGGCCTGTTCATTGGTCATCAAGCAACTGGTCACCTCAATCGACCGTAACACCTCTAAGTGAGTCTATTCGCTCGGCCATGGATTTTTCTTTGTGGAAGAAGATTGGTAACGAGTTCCTTCTTGCACCCAATATCACGAACTGGGTTTCCTGTGTTGAAGGATCCGGGAGCCTTGTGGAGTGGAGATCAGGAACTACGAYCTGTCSAGTTGTGAAGGCTATAACATCAATCTGCACGAATATTGCACCAGATTACTTGATTGCACATGCATGTGGATTAGCTCTGACACGTAATGGCGGTACACAGTTTATCCTGGATGGGAACAAAGCTAATTGCTACCCTACCCATGATCCTTGTGGTAGCGATTCTGTATCCAATCACCAGCAACATATAACAAATCCTGGAGGTGCCCTTTACATCCGCTGATGAATAATAATATGAAAGAACGTTTCAAGTTTGTAACACATAGGAGATGACTGCTGATGGCTGTACGGCACACCAGCTTTGTATCTTATCACCTAACATCTTTTGCACCGACAGAACGTTTCTAGCTAGCAAGGTTGGCAGAACTCGAACGTTGACTTTATTAAGGCGCTTTGCCGTTTATTAGTTAATTAGTCTAAGTTGATTGATAACGTGAGTCATAACGAAGCATCACACACATGTCCAGCGCCGGCCTACAAGGGAGTGGGAGACTCGTAGATAGTAGAGAGGGTTGTTTAATAGTTGGGAAAAGGCCGGATATTCAAAGAGTTAAATGTCTAGGAGATCCCAACAAAGGGATGGTAGAGACAGTCCATTTGGGTCAACAGGTGATAGCATAGGCCTGCCTTGGACATCTATCAGTACTAAAGGAGGGCTTCTGTTCTCCCCAGCATACCAATTCTTTAATTAAGCACGCTTCAATGCTGACATAGGATCTCGATATTTATATATAAGCAATTATAAAATGTTTGAAATATAACGCGCTCAGTAGTTGGCTGGCCACCATGTCTATATCAGAGGAGAGAGACACGCTCGCGCAAAATTCTCTTTCCCGACAAAATTTATAGGAGAATCGCGATACAAAAATATACCTGACGACGATGGTCACTCATTGACAGTGCATCATATTTATTCAGTGGAGTTCCAACCGTAGCTTCCTTCTCAGACGTTCTTAGTGTCTGTTGCGCAACGTTTCCCTCCACACGAACGTCTTCAAAAATTGACCAATCACCAGGAACCAATAATCCKAAAACGGTCTATTACGTATCTCGTAGAAGTGTATATGCAATGCTTAAATTAAATTAATAAAACTTTCAAAATTAATGAGCTGAGCTCTTATCAGAATCAAGTTATCGAAGTATTTAGGATTCAGAAACGAGAATTTTGWAAATCATCCAACTGTTTATCGCTAACTTACCAAGCCGTACCACTATGTGTCGATGTTGTTGTTTTTCTCTCTCGATGTTTTCGCTTGTAGAATTTCGTATTTGTGCAAACGAATGTTATTTTACAAAGATGTATTAAATATTTCGGTCCCGAGACCAATGTTTAGCAAGCGATGTTGTTTTTTTTTTCGAAAAACTTTCACTCTTTCGTCGTTTTTTTTTTTTTTTTTTTTTTTTTTTTTTTTTTTTTTTTTTTTTTTTTTTTTTTTTTTTTTTTTGATGGTTTAAAACCACAGGAGTAAGCAATGCGTTGTTTCTTGAATAAAGTTTTCTTTTATTGGACTAACAATTAGCAGACTCACTGGACTAACAATTTTACTCGACAAACAATTAGTCGTTTTCGATTGGCCCATGATAACAATTGAAACGGAATGTTCTGCTCAAGCAAGCACACGTTCGTGGGGAGTGGAAGGTTGCGTGACAGACACTAAGAACGTCTACGTAGAAGGCTAGTCCAACCGTCGTTAGATAACGAATAAGATCAAAATATCATTATTACGACGATTTTTTGTCTTGAATTAGCAATCAACACAAATTCTAGTTATTGTTATTGGATATTGATTGGCTACGAGATATTGAATATACGTACAGACTGAGGCCGCTAGGTCAAACCCTGTTTTTAATAAGGCCGAGGCACAATTTCTTCCTATCCAGACCGAATTTCCGACGCCAAATGAGTTTTTTTTAAATTTTTTCACACTTTCTTTTTATCTTGTTTTGAAATTTTTTTGCGGGTGAATACCGGACCGCCATTAAGTGCCTACCGCTCGTAAAAATAGAACGATTAACGCACCATTCATTTTACATCCCCCCCCCCCTCCCCCCGAGGCATACCCGGGGGCATAGCGAGGATTTCACCCCAGTTTCACATATATTTGGTTCCCTGGTGTTCGGGGAAAGCGCTGTCACAGGGATTTGTGTTCCCCCGAGTTATGTGTTCCCCCGAACACTGGGCACTAGTGTTTTGTGTTCCCCCCTCCCCTCCCTATGAAACATCTTTTGACACGATTCTCTCCCCCAGGTGAAGGACATGTTTTAATTTTAAAAAGAGAACTATTACTCTGAAAACGAAAAATAAATGGATTATCTCTATCGTACATCTTTATCGTACATTTTATAACCGCGTGATCCTCTACTGCGGTTGGTATTTTAGGAGATAAAATTTTATTTACCGAATTTAATAAATCAAGCGAGTTCTTTTCTTGGTCTCGTGGCAAAATACATGAAAATACASATATGCAAAATTTCTTTGCTGTATTATCTAGCCCTACATGGCCGCCGAAAACAGRTGAATGACACTCCTCAAAGACCCTTTGCTTCTCTTCACGTCCTCTGATTACCACTCTCTTTTCCACTCCTTCTACGTACCATAGTACACGATGCTGGTGAGTTTCCGTTCGAGCGAGAGCTTCTTGTACATTCTCCGTAAAACAAATTTTTCTTTATTCACAAAATCAGAAGGATATTCCTTTCGGGATAAATAGTTAAAAACATTATCATACTGTGAAGCTTCCATGATTTTTTGAATTTAGATTTAAAGAATTTCGTTGAATTTAAATTTAGAATTTAAATCTTAGAATTTAAATTCTAAGATTTAGCCGGTTTGTAAACCGAAAACCAATCATTTATAGAGCATCCTTGACCTGGGGGAGAGAATCGTGTCAAAAGATGTTTCATAGGGAGGGGA